GAAATATTACAAATACTTCAGAAGTCAGAGGACGTTCTGTACTGGAGTGGAGACCATTTATAAAGAAAAAAAAAAAAAAGGTAGGGTCATATTCAGCGTCTAGACTGCTGGATGGTGTTGCCTTGCTCAGGCTGAGCTTGCATCACGCCGCTCCCAAATGCCACCGTCACCTCGTCTTGGGTTGCATTCTGTGGCTGGAGGGGGAAGCAAGGAAGACTGGTTATCGCCTTCCCATCAGTCACACAGCCTCGGGTGCCTTGTTATTTTGGGGCAGGGAGAGGCCCATCAGCCTCACGGGACTCTCAGCATCCCATCCCTCCTCTCCCGGCCCCGCAAGCTCCCCGGGGTGGGACCACCCTTACCCTATGCAAGAGGGGTCCCCAATTTCCTGGTGTCCCTCACCCCTGGGGAGCTGGGGACCGGAGCGAGACGGGATGCGGACATGGAAACTGCCGCTGCTCAACACAGGATGCTCCGCAGACTTCATTTTCCAAAACAGGTGATTAACTCACACGAAGCTCTTTGAGGATTACGAGGCAGGAGCTGGGTGTGATGCCCTACCAGCCTCTGGGGAAAAAAAAAAATAGACCTGAAGGGAATTTCTTCATCTTGTACAGCCTCAGGGCGGGTAAGGGAGGGAGTAGTCATGAATTTTGGAGTGTTTCCTCCCAGAGTTGCCTCCTCCCAGCATCAGCACCACGTCCTCCTCCCAGTGCTCCCAGCTGCCACCAGCACCAACTGCTCCTCTGCTCAGGCTGGAGGGCAGCGTAAGTCCCAAATCTTCACAGCCAGATGAAGAGGAGAAGGATGCAAGCTTTTACCCCATCACAACATCCCCCTGAGCCCCGCGGCTCTGCACCATACGCTGTTTTCCCCCGAGAAGCAGCATCACCGGGGCAGGAAACGCCGAGGCATGGGAAAAAACCTTCACACTTGCATCTCACTGTTTGCTTTTCCTCTCCCACGTGCCCACAGAGCAGCAGCGGATTCTGCCTGCAGTCCCTTACTGCTCCCGGGACACATGGAAAAAAAATATAGGCAGCAGCAGGAGAAAGGGGATGCTGTAAAGCAACAGCTTAAGGGCATGAGCAGATGTAAGGCATCCGCTGTCTTGGCATCAAATGAAGCCACTGTGGAGGAAAAGAGGATTTTTCCACTCGTAGGATGACGGGTTAGAGGCAGCTCCGCAATGAAACTTCTTCCCCAAAAGGGCTGTCAGGCGCTGGCATGGGCTGCCCAGGGAGGTGGTAGAGTCCTCATCCCTGGAGGTATTTAAAAGAAGGATAGATGAGGTGCTTAGGGCCAGGGTTTAGTGGTGGGATGGCAGGGTTAGGTTAAAGGTTGGACTTGATGATCTTAAAGGTCTTTTCCCACCAAAGCGATTCTATGATTCTATGAAACTATTGTGGAGGAAAAGAGGATTTTTCTGCTCGTTGTTATGTAGGATGATGGGTTAGCAGGAGCTTTGCAATGCAGCCCCATCTCCCCAGATCCCACTTTCCAGGATATTCCCACCCACACCAATAAAGTGTTGACTGCAGCCGCGCCAAATTGCATTTGTGGATTTGATGGGCTCTCTGCTGGGCAGAAACATCTCCCCAGCAGGACGATGAGAGGAGGGGGGCAGGCGGGAGCCCCGCAGGCAGCACCCATCCCAACCTCTGTGCCCCGCTGCTGGTCAGGCAGCACAAACCCCTGCCTCTCCAAAAAAAAAAAAAAAAAATTAAAACAAAAAAAAGTGAAGTTTTACTTTCTCTTTCTCTGGTCTTTAATTGCAGATCAAAGCTGGCCCTTCAGGCCGGCGTCGCCTGCCAGCAGCTGCTGCTGGGCAGGCTTCCAGGCCACCCTTCGGGTGAGGGCTGCCCATCCCATCCACCGTCCCGCTCCTCTCCTCCTGCCTGCTCCTCCCTGCTCCTACCGCAGGCAGGGTCAATCGCTGCCATTAACCCTCCCGACCGGTTGCTGTGGGAATTGAGGGGCTGCAATCCAGCGACTGGGAATGAGATCGGGGTTTTTTCCGGCTTCGCACGACCTCCAAGAAAGCGAGGGATGTGTGAGTGGCTCCAGCATCTTCCCACAGCCACCTCCGGGCTGCCCCCGGGGAGCCGCAGCCCGGCCGGCGACGGGAGCTGCTCTTTGCAATAACTTCACTCTCCATAAGAACAGAGATTTTTCTTTAAAAAGCAACCACATACTGCAACGGTGACACCTCTGGGTACAGTTTAAATATAAGAAAAGGCACAACCCTAAATAATTCACCCAAGTGTGTTCCTGCTCGCGTAGAGAGGATTTTATACGTGCAACCAGCTAGTGTCCCGGCAACATGAGGAATTACTTAAATTACTCATTAATCATGACATATGCTAAAATTACTGAAGTGTGTAATTAAATGCTCCGGGGTCAAAGACAGCAAACAGGAATAGCCAAAATATGAGCAACTCACAAGGACAGTTCTGTCGGCTGGACATTGGTCCAGCCCACACTGGACCCTAACTTTAGAAATCAAGGGATTTGCAGAGACAAGAGCTATGCTGTTAGGGCAGGGACGACTTCTTTCCCCTTCTACCTTGAAATATCTACTCAGTTTTCCTTGGGGAGTCAATTAGCATGATGAATACAGGGTATGAGTGCTCTCTGAAGGCAACGTGAGCAGAGATGCTGCAGAGGGCAGGAAAAAGTAATGGAGAAAAATGGGGCAGCGTAAACAAAAACCTGGAGGGGGAAAAAAAAAAAAAAAAAGATGGAAAGAGGAGGGTTGGGAAAGTGTTATAGCATGGTCTGCAAGACCCCAAGAGAGGGTTGTGTTGGAGGAAAAGGAAAATGCAAGCTCCCCGGGCTGCCACAAGGAGCTGGGATGACCCCACCACCCTACAGCCGCTCTAATATTTGGCAAGCTGCGGTGGGCAGCGAGGTGCGGGCAGATATCCCTTGTGCCTTCCAGGAACAAAACACCCTGTGCAAATTCAGCACGACACCCCTGGGGTGATTTCTGCATGCCAGAAAGCAGCAGCCCCTCTCGCCCAGCAAGCGCGTGACCTCCTGGTGGAGATTAGCTCCTGCCTCCATCACTGCTCGGCTCCGGGACCCCGTGCTCGAGGACGTGTCCGACCCACGGCACAGCACCAAGGGCACACACGGAGGCAGAAAGGACAGGCGGTGACAGGGATTTGCATGGAGTGGTTTGGTGTTCGCCCCAAGTAGCTCTTGGTTCATATATATATACGCGTGTGCGCGCGCGCGCGCGCGTGTGTGTGTATATATATATATATAAAAAAAACTAAATATATAAATATATATGTCATGCCACTGCGAAGCTCTTCCCTGGACCACAAAGGTATTTGGACACCTATTACATATAGCTATAATACCTGCATTTGGACACCTATTATATAGAATTTTATATCTATACATGCTAAACAAGATTAAATCGCTGCGTTCAGCCATGTAGTTTCTGTCCAGCTCAGGCTGGTAAGAGTCGCTAAAAGGAGAGTGAAGTTTCCTGCAAAAATCCTGCTTTTCCCACAACTGGGAACATTTATTTTAGCATGTCAGATGCCATGGAAGGAAAAGTCAGAACCACCCTTGACAGATGTGTCCCCCCTGCCTGCTGCAGAGGCGCTGCTACCACAGCTGGGCTGCAGCTCTCCGAGTGGCTTTTTTCCCCCTTCCACATCTTTAAATATTAGCATTATTCTGCTGGTTTGTTCATAAATACGCCGAGAGCCCTGGAGTTGGATAAATAGCTGCTTCAGGCCCATGTAAGGTTCTGAAAGCTCTGCGGCGTCAGTGAAAGATCTCGTTGCGTGATTAACCGTATCAGAATTTCCTGACATGACTCACTGCTAGAAAGATTCATCGGCAACCAAGCGGACGTCTGTCTAGCACGGCATTAAAAATGGCAATGCGGGACGGGGAGGGGGAAGCAAAATCGACGGGGAAATGATGCTGGCTAAGCTTTTTCTATTTTAAGGAGAAATTGCCCAATATTTATATTTAAAAAAAAAAAAAAACACAACACCCAAACCAAAACCCAGGAAAGAAATAGCAAGGATTCATAATCAGCTATATATACCGACCTAACCACAGACGTGCTGGAGGCCACGCCGTAACACCGCACGTACAGCTGAGCCCTTCCTGCCTCACGAGATAACTGGGTCAGCCAAGAGTAACCCTAGCTGCTTTTTGAGAGCAGAAATAGATTTACTACGGCCGAGGTCGGGTTGCAGGCTCCTTTCGGAGGGGAGCAACTGGGAAGGACACTGGTACGGAGCCCATGCCGAGCACTTGAGTTTCTCGGAGCTGAGTTACCATCTCCTGGGGTTTTTTTGCGGGGGGAGAAAGCAGCACCAGCTTCTGGGATAAGAAATTTGTGAAGATGGGTAAAAAGTGATGCACAAAAGCAGCAGCCCAGGACAAGCCCCGTGTACCTAGTAGGAAATGATCCACCCTTTCTTCTGGGGCTTCTTCTCAACAAGGGAAAGGAGCGTGAAGAGGAGTTGGGGAGGAGAGTGGGAGACTCGGTTCCTTCCCTCCACCAGACAGTTTTACAGTGAAGCATCATCGCTTAATCTCTAATATGATTTTCCACTAGAAGAGAACCCATGGAGCTGGCAGGTTTCCCATTTCAGGGTTTGTTTTTCATCTAGCACATAAATTTGCAGAAAAAAAAAATTATCACCCAACACCAGTGGCAAAACCAAGAACAGCCTTGCTACGAAACTGAGTTCAGCACAAAACCCAAATTTCCTCTTACGTTTGTGGTACGATCGGTCCCGTTATTTACGTATTTACACATAAAAGGTTAGATTTGCAAGGGAAAAACAGTGGACAGCCTCGCTGCTTGATGCCCAGGTGACCGTTGGGCGTTTGAAGCTGGAAAATAACAATTTAGTAAGTTTATGAGATCAGGACACAAGCTGAAGGACAGGCAGGAACCAAACCAAATGACGACCTCCCCACCAGCGGCTGGAAACTGGCGGCTTTTGGCACTTGCTACTTACTGAACGTTTTGCAGATGTCAGAAACCGCCTTGAAGACCCTGTCCGAGAAGTTGACTTTCACCTTGACGTACTTCATGTTGGGCAGCTGGAGGCGAAGCAGCTTGTGCTGAGGTGTGAACTGGAGCTTGGCATCAGCCTGTATCCCGTATTTGTCCAACGTCCAGTGCGTTTTAAGGAGCCAAGTTTTCTTCTTTTCCCACCACAGCGCGTGATCCGACCAGTCTTTCTTGACGTCTAGAACAAAGAAACCATTTTACCAGTTAACACCGGGACCAGAATTAGCCTTCAAAAGACAAAAGCAGTAGTTTAAATGCGCTTAAGCAAGAAGCAACTATCGATCCAAAAATGCTGGCAGCCCTTTTCAGCTACAAATAATTGCTTGAACTCAATAGCATCGAGAAGCCACCTTGGAGATAAAAGTAGGAAAGAACCCAAGAGGAATACGGGTGAGACGCAACGTGTCTGTGGATCACTCAGCCCAGTGGTGATGAGGCTGGAGCATGAAGCCAGGGAGTTCACAAACAGAATCACACAGAATCACAGAACGGCAAGGGTTGGAAGGGACCTCAGGAGATCATCCAGTCCCACCCCCCTGCTCAAGCAGGCTCACCCAGAGCAGGGGGCACAGGACAGCGTCCAGGCGGGGGTTGAAGATCTCCAGAGAAGGAGACTCCACAGCCCCCCTGGGCAGCCTGGGCCAGGGCTCCGTCACCCTCAAAGTCAACAAGTTTTTCCTCATATTCAACTGGAGCCTCTTCTGCTTCAGTTTGTGCCCATGGCCCCTTGTCCTGGTGCTGGGCACCACTGAGAAGAGTCTGGCTCCATCCTCGTGACACCCACCCTTGAGATATTTGTATGAACGACCTGACACCTTCTCTGGGAGGGATTTTGCGCAGCTTTTTAACTATCAACTCTTGGGTTTCCCCATCCCCGCCACAAAGGACACCTGCGCTACCCAAAAGTGAGTCCAGCCATCTGGCCACACACGGAAAGCAGAACGAGAAGGAATTCTGCAAGAAGAATTCAACACCGTGTCTTCTCCATGTCTTTCAGTTTCTACACACAAAACTGGAAAATTCCCAAATGAAATGAAGTTACTTCCCAAAGGAACAACAGTGCAAAACCCAACGGCCACTTCTCCTTCCAGCAGGGATGGAACCATGGGGACTTTGAAGATCACGTCCAAGTCAGAAAGCATTTGGGAAACCAAGGCATGGTGATAACTCCAAAAGACGGTCACCGTGCAATATTTTCCCTAACGCCCGGAATATCTTCTGCTAACACTTGCTCCGAGCAGCCCCCTGCCATTGCTGCAGAGCATCTTCCAGTCCGACAACCACCGACCGGCATCAAGGCTGCAATGTCCCCTGCTATGCAGGAGAAAGGGAAGGAGAGGGGGAGAGAATGATCCAGGCGCTGCGGCTGCATTTTGCAAAGCTCTGCTTAGCCTAAACCCTCCACCTCCACAAATACTGACTGGGGCGGGTGTCAGCATTGACGGTGACAGCCAAAGCTTTCATTTCAAAGGAAAAACCAAACGTTTCCGCAGGATGTCATCTGGGCAAGCACACAAGAACGTCAAGAGGCTGCAGGACAAGTTACAGGGACACTTCTGCCCTTGATATTGCAAGTGATAGAATTATCAGTAAGTTTTGAGCTTATGGACTTTCTATGAGGATTATTTTAATTTTCATAATCAAAAAAAAAGCTTGAAAGCAAGACGCATTAAGGCACCAGTAATAAAATAATTCAGTTTTCAGCTCCAGATCCTCCTCAGATCCTGGATTCCCAACATGAAACATCAGTTTAACCCAAATTAAAACCGCCAGCTGACTTTTACTGCAACAGCTCCTTCCTCCGCCCTTCGGCATCGATGCTCGTGCCCGGCATGGCACCAGCCAGAGGCAAAGCCAGCGGAGCCCAGGGGCAAAGCCCCAGCAGGGCCACCACCAAGGAGGCGAAGGTACCGACGAACACGCTCCAGGACAGACAGAATCATAGAATGTTTTGGGTTGGAAGGGACCCCTAGGGGTCATCTAGTCATCATGAAGACTGTCCCCACGAGCCATGTCTGAACTTCATGAAGATGAGAACAGTGTGATAAATGAACTTTTTTTCTGTCCCTATCTAAGAAGGGGATCTCGATCTCAGGGTTACTGAGAAAAGCCGGCAGAAGCTTTTTTTTCCTTTGAACTCCTGGTATAATGGCATGATCACGCAGCCAGAAAGTAGGAACCTTCGGCTAGACTTTTCAACAGCTTTGTACAACCAAATTAAACAAAACCAAATATAGAAAAGCATGCAAACTTGCACAAGCCTTGGCTACTCTCAAAAAAATCTGAGAAATCATTACAATGGACTTTGGTAACGAAGTCCAACTTCTGCCCTACTGAAAGCTGAACAAATTGGCACTGAAAGTCGGGGCGGAGGGGAGGGGGGGGGGAATAAAAAAAAAGCCCTTTTGAATCACTAACATTTATGCCTAACAGAAGAGGATTTGGGTTTACGCTGCAGATCAACCTTTCAGGCCATGGCACAAATATGCACAGCATCGTCTTTCGGCCTGAGAGCAATTAACACTTTGAATTAACAGTGAGATGTTGGCTACGGCCAGAAAGGTAAAGGTCTGCGGCCGTCCCACAGGGTAGTTAGATATAAAAGAGCCTGGCAAATGTTTAGCAGCTGACTTGTGGGGCTGAGTTTAACGTGTTGGCAAGAAACCTTTGGTGCTTTGCAAGGCAGCTGGTGTGACCCAAGGGCTCGGAGCAACCCTTGCACACTGGGGAATGCCAACCACCCGATTAAATCTGATCAAAGGTTTATAAATCTTCGCCAAGGTCCCAACTCACAAGTTACTGATTTGTCGGGGTTACAGCTTTACGACAAGGCTTATTATTTCAGCTCAGTCTTGTCCCCATTTACCACTGTCAGCCGCAGGACCGGGCCCTTTGTATTTTTGTGGAAAGCAAGCTGAGAGCCCGGGTAGGTCTCTGAGTGCTGCAAGTTCATTTTAGAGATCCCAGACCTCGAGTTCAAAAGGTTACCACAGGTCCAAAGCCACAATACAAATCTCAGCGGAGGTGTTTGCAGGTCCCGAAGCTCCTCTGAGCTGCTAAATGCTACTTGTGCATCCCTGAGCTGTTATTTCCAGCCACAAAGTGTAGCAGCCTTACAGCAACGTAGTAAGAAGCAGAAATGGCCGGAGCCGGCAAGTGTTCATCAGCGACTTAATCAAAGCAAGTAGGAAAAAGAAAGAGGCTTGTTCAGTGGGATGGGAAAATCCACCCATGTTAGTCGAAATCAGGCTGATTCCTGCTTGTGGCATGGTGGGGGGAGAGGACCAGCAGAGCCACCAGGACTTAGGTGTCCTCAGTGCAGTAAAAAAGCATCCTCCCACCATGGTCATCGCGGGCAAAGGCGAGCACAGAGGGATCCCTGGAAATGAGCTGCACACATTTGCCAGGGTCGCAGCAAAACCACGGCCACCGATGCTCCCCTTCCAGGCAAGGAACCTGCCCTGGCGGGGCAGCCCGGCGGGCTGCGGGGATGCGGAGGCTGGAGCCGTCAGCATCAGCTGGAGCACGGGTTGGGGACAGGGAGTTCCAGGAGCCCAACCCCAGCAGCAGCGCTCGTGGGAAAGGGAAGCACGGCATTTCCTTCCCGGCATCAAAAATAATCCCTGCTCCCTGCTTCCTCTTCTTCTGAAGGTGAGTTTTTGTTCTGTTCTGTGGGGTTTTTTTGTTGGTGGTTTGGTTTTTTTTTTTTTTTTTTTTTTTTTTTTTTTTGAGGAAAACCCTGGTTTTACATTTGCCTCCCAAAACTGTGCCAAGAGGCAGAGATGTGGTGCAGGTGACGCTGAGGACATTTTGTACAGCAAAACCCACGGAGCAAACTTGCTGCCCACCTTGAAAAGCTGTTCAGACAGTCCTGCAAATGCAAGAGGCATCTTAAATCACCCAGGCGGCTGCAGAGACCTCTGCGAGGACAGAACATTACGAGAAGAGATGAAGAGCTGCTCAATAAAGTGTTTTAAACATTAAACAGCCTTAGCTTTCAATTCATTCCGTGCCTCGCCGCAGTCACATCGCACCAGCTTGTCCAGCATAATTACAACTGCAGATTTTTATTCCTGCAGCTACCACTAAATTCACATCTAGAATTCAAGTAGCAGAAAATAAGTCTTAACTGAAGATGCATACAAAGTGTATTTTAATTCTGGGCTTGCTAATGCACAGACACACACGCACGCAATTACCATTTAAACGCCAAAGCCAAATTTTGGTGAAGTGCAAAGAAGATGGAGGCAGCCCCATCCACTGCGCCTGATGGGCCATTTATCCCATTTACCCCGGGAGCTGGCTGCTCCAAACGCTTTCCCTCTGCCGATCTGTGGATTTTAAAAGGCCCTTTTCTGCTCTGCTTCTGCAGCGGCTATTGAACCTCCCTTCTTCAGAAGCATTACTGTCCCTTGGCAAGCTCTCCGTGCAAGCTTATGACTTACTAGCAATAGTATACAAGTCTCCAGCGTTACATAAACACTGTATTTGCCTTGTTATTTTGGGATATCCCCTACTGCACATGGGCCCTCCTTCTGTGCACTGCTCGGAACAAAAGAGCCCCGATACGACCGAATAAACCTCTTTTTTTTTTTCTTTCCATGGTTAAACCCCACTAGATTGATATTTGGAGAGCAGGAACCTCCAGCAGCGGTGGTCTCCACGTCTGGGAAAGGCTCCTGCGGGGTAGCACCAGACCCCCTCTCACACACACATCCATGATTAAATCCAGTGGACAGCAAAGAGCCTACGAACGCCTCCATCACCTTAACACCGAAGGCAGATTATTAAAAGGCTCCCGCATAAGCTTGGATAAGTACGGAGGGAACTTCTGCAAGCCTGTCTGCTTTGCATCATGTTTTTTTGTCTGATTTTTGGAAACAAAGATTTGCAGCTGAAGCTGGCTCCCCTGCAATACTCTTCACCTTAGGAGGGGCGGCGGATGCAGCCAAAGCAGAGGTTTCAGTTCATTTCTTAATTATAAATGATGGCTTTTAGAGCAACAAGATTCACGTCTTCAGCCCTCCCGGGGGAGCAATACGGAAGGACCATCTTCCTCCGGTACAAAACACGGCAGAACCAAAGCCCATCGATCCAACTGGTTGTTTTTCCGCAGGAGCAGCATGGGCAGAGCAGCCCTCCCCGGTCCTGGCTCTTCCCCAGCGGTGAGCGT